TTTGTTCTGTCTATCATCCTGCACTTAGAGTGTTGTATATGGCAGGGATATTAAAGGAGCCAACATACTTGTGGACCCAAATGGACGTGTTAAATTGGCAGACTTTGGAATGGCGAAGCATGTAAATTGAGGACTCTCTTACTTAAATACGATATTAAATTGTCAGAGAAAAAAAAAATAATCTAAAAGATTGATGGACAAAGTTGATCTAACAATATGAGTAGTGAATAATGATTTGAAATCAGCTTATTGAGAACATTAATCTGTTTCAATATATTTTTCTTTATTTATTACTATATTTCCGACATACATGAGGACATCAGCTATTCATCATCCACTATCCAGTAATTATTTTAATGCACTTGTAGGGTCAAGGATATTGACTGGCTTTCTGCATTTGATATCCTCTAGAAATTTATTTCTTATAATTCAAGATGATATGGTTTGCAGATAACAGGGCAATCTTGTCCCTTATCATTTAAGGGTAGTCCTTACTGGATGGCTCCCGAGGTTAGTTGTTTTATAGTTATGTGATATCTAGTATCTACTATTCTCTTTCTACCAGATTATTAATTTTTAGTTCTGCTGGTCACTTAGGTTATAAGGAATTCAAATGGATGTAGTCTAGCAGTTGACATATGGAGTCTTGGATGCACTGTCTTAGAAATGGCAACATCAAAGCCACCTTGGAGTCAGTATGAAGGGGTTCGTATTTTGGACTTTGATTCAAGAGTTGATAACTTGCTTTTTCTTCCCCTATTTTGTTCCTCATTTCCGGTTAGCCACAAAATATATCCAAGGATTATCTTTACTAAATTAAAAAAAAAAAAAAAAAAAAAAAAAAACTCAAAATTGTGAATAACCCCCTTGGTTTGTCTGTTTGTTTACTTTTTGTTTCCTTTTGTGTTTGTGTGTGTGCATCCTCTATAGGAGAGTGTATTTGTTTGGTAAGTGCAATCATTAAGGGTATATTTATTATTAAACCATATTTGTTTCTTTATGCGATTCGATACAAATTATTTTTGGTTTTGACTCGCCGGATAATTTTTTTTGGCGAAAACTATGTTTGGATACAAAATTTTTAACAACCAAATTTAACCCAACTTTACCCTGCTCAATATTATCAAAATAATAATATATCAACTAATCATTACCACACAAATTTCAACAAAATTTACTATTCATTCAATTACATATTCTTAATTACCCATCCAATCACCTCCCTTTACATCACATCAACTTTGATCAGTAAATTTTAACTCATCCAAACACAAACTCAATATCTGATCCAAATCTTTGCTCAATCAACTTTTTTCAAAATCAACTCACTCTATCCCGTAAATCCAATTAAAACTGAATGTTTTTATTTCCAATCACACTTTCTAGTGCTGTAATTAGAATAAATCTAAATGGCAACTTTTGTAATTATTCTTTATTAATTTTTTTTCCCATTATTTTTCTTATTTGTTTAGTTGTGTGCTTGCATGTGAGTATGATTCTAATTCCAATTGTACATAATATGACTTACTAGAAACTGTTGCTTTTATGTTTGGGTTTAAAGGTAGCTGCCATGTTCAAGATTGGAAATAGTAAGGAACTTCCAACAATTCCGGATTATCTCTCAGAAGAAGGGAAAGAATTTGTGAGACTATGCTTGAAACGAGACCCCCTGCATCGTCCTACAGCTGCTCAGCTTCTTGAGCACTCTTTTGTAAAAACTGCCGCACCTTTGGAGAAACAAATGCAGTGTTATACAACATCTTCCGAGCACCTTCCAATGACTAATGTCGTTAAACCTTCGGTAATAACTTCTGACCTTTCATGATATATTTAAGAGATAATTACAAAAAGTGTCCTTGATGTTTCATCTAATGACAGAAGAATCCATCTAAGTTTAGAATCCAAAAGATTCGACTTAAATGTTGAAACTGAGGGGATAATATATAAGGTTTTATCCTTCCCTGGGATTTGACTAAAAAGTTGGAAGACTAATGCCTACGTTTTCAAATGCGTTTTCTTTTAATTTTCCAGTAGTTTTTTCTGTTTTTTTGTAATTAGGTCGATATTCAAGGGTCTTTCGCAATTAACCGCATTTTCAATGCAATTTATTTTAATGTTTAGCAGATGATGGTCTTTCTCCTTTCTCCCACTGTGTGGTGTGCTGGCCTTTAGAGATGTTTTGGCAATTATTTTGTTGGCCATTAAATATAATTGTTACGCTACAAATATTTATTATCAACTATGTTTATACATCTTCGTGTATTTATTATTTTTGAGTTATGCATAACCAATAATTTGTGCTCGGGATGAGGAACACTTGGTATAACCACCGCATATTTTACTGATGATATGGTTTATTCATCACTTGTAGAAAATCAATAATGTGAGAATTCTTCAGCAGCCCGATCCAGAGAGACTCGCTATCCACTCATCCAGAATATTGAAATCTAGTTTTCACTCCAGGTATCTCTCTCTCTCTCTATCTGTGTGTGTGTGTGTGTGTGAGAGAGTGTGAGTGCATGTGCAATAATGTCTTTTCTGTCATCAAACGACCTCAAATACTTTATATGAAGGCTTAATGTAAAAGGTAGAAAAAAAAGAGGAATAATCACAAAACTTAATGCTAAGCTTTTACCTACTTGCGAAACAATATATGTATATTTCCAAATAATGAACACCCCTCATAGGCGTTAGTCGTTACAGACAACTCCCTTGATGTTTAAATCATCCGGCAACACAAATTCTCCTGTGATGCAACCTTAGACTACAACAAAAATGTCTATTTATACTCTCGAATGTCATACCTTGTTTATATTATTTTTTAGTATTAACATTTTCAAATGAAAAGAAAGCATATTTGTGTGAAAGGTATGTTGGCGTAATAGTTAGGCCGACCTAACAGAAAAGATCTATGGCAAATACCCTCACTTCTTTTTTTTTTTCTTCTTTAATATCCTCATTTCTTTTAAAATGCAATCTGTAAAATAGCTGCACATATCAAAGTGGTATTGTGGTTTTCAAACAAGCATGGGAATCTTTTTCTCTTTCCTCTTAGTTTCCTAGCAACTAGGTCAAATCTCAACAGTAATCTTGTAACCTTCCCCAAGAACCCCAAAAAATTCAAGCACATTAGTGTTCTAAAACAATCAACATATGTTAATAATTTCAGCGACATTTACATCTCGAGGAACATATCATGCCCAGTCTCGCCTATCGGGTCAAGGTCTCCCCAGTACCTTAGCGGCCGAATGTCCCCTTCCCCAATTTCCAGCCCCCGTGCTACATCCGGCTCCACCACGCCTCTCCCGTTTCACAACCAACAATCGCTGCCCAATATTTTGCAGCAGGAGGTTTTTGCAAATTTACAATCTGGCCCCTGCACCAGCAGCCCCTCCTACTGGGATTCCGAAATCCTCAGGGGGGTACAATTGGGAGGATCTTCTTCTCATGCCTTTCGGGAGCTGACAGTTCCCTTTGATAACAAACCGTCGGTTTTATTTGATCGTGTGTCCCAGCAGCTGCTCAGAGAGCCCGCCAAGTTGTTGAATCAGTCTCTGGATTTGAGGACTCCTTCTGCATTGACGTGCAATCGGTCGACCGGATTATGACCTATATTATTAATTGTCACTCAGAGCAAAGGTGCCATACACTACAGTTCAGTGAAAAAGTGAAACCGATTGTGAAACTGCCGTTTGGTTTTACTGAGCAGAGGTTCGGAAAATCTAGAACTGCATTTGGCGACGGACTTGCTAGTTTGTGGCATGATACTGACTTTCAAATGCTGGGTGAAGGGTTCTGGTTGGACTAGGAACTTTGGCTTGGACTTTATGTTTAGTCTTGGCTAAAGTATATTCGTTCGTGAAAAAAATTCAAAAAAAAAAAAAAAATGAAAATGTATATGCACACATTATTATTTAATTCTTAGAGGGGAAGGGTAACCCCGGAGTCTGTAATCGGTGTAGAGCTTTTTATGCTACAATATGCAAGCTGATGTGTACAGATAATGAAGAAAATTTTAAATTATTTTATTCTTTTCAAGCTGAAATCTTGATATCTTGCGTTTCAGTTCATATATATATATATATATATATATATATATATATATATAGGGCTGGGTTCACATGAGAATGATGTTTAGTGAAAGAAAGAAGAATAAATCGTATCCATTAGATTGGATGATCTAATGGATAAAAAAAAGTCAAAATTATAACATCATTAAGGATACTGTGGTAATTTTACACAATACACTAAAAGAGGTGGGCCTCTTTCACAATAAATAAGCTGTCATTATACAAATCTACCTCCCACCTACCTATCACACACTGCACCCGTCAAACCCACCACCCCACCCTCACACACTTTCTCTCTCTCACACACACAAAAAATGGAAGAAGACACACACACGCGCACACAGTCATGGCAAACCACCGTCAGTTCGCCACATCCCGTCCGCCGTCGCCACCACCTGTCCGCCGCCGCATCGCCTTCCGCCCGCTCGCTCTAGCTCATCGTCGACCACCGCAAGCAGGCCCGTGAACGACGGCTTCTGCGCCTCCGGCGGCCGCAGGCGAAGGCGTCTGCATCTCCGGGGGCTGCAAACGACGACGACTTTCGTCTTCTCCGGCGGTCTCAATACATTTGTCATCTACTTCGTCCGCCCTGAGAGGTTGCAGCCGTCCAGCTATCTCCGGCGTCTTGTTCGTGACGTTCATCCTCCGTCGCCGTCCTTGCCCCGTTCCGCCATTCCACCACCGCCGCTGCCTTGTTCAACCGTCCGATCGCTGGCGGCGTCTCATCCCTGACATCCGCCGCCACCCGCCGCCATGGGGGAAGTGCTGCACCAACTTCAAATTGTGTGGCTTGATTTTGAAAATTAGATTAAGTTGTGTGGCTTGATTTTGAGAATTAGATTGGATTGAAGGACCTAGCTGTAATTTATGAAAGTTATGTTATATTTCAATTGAGTACATTTGGCCAAATTTGTATTTTATAAAAAATATATAAAAAATATTATTTTTATATTTGTTTTCTTATACATATAAATATTAAATAACAATATTAAAAAATTAAATATAATTATACAATATAAATAATAATTATTTCAATAATATTATTTGATAAATAATGTAATAATAATTATTATAAAAATTTATTAGTATAAAATAAATAAAATATATTTTTTATAATATAAATATTATTTAAATATATTTCATTTTTTATATATATGCACTTAGATTGCACATTAGTGTTTGATGTATTGCACGATAGTGACTGTCATTGTGCACTTTAGCAACCATATAATTGTCTGAACTAAATTCATTGTATTGTTACTTTTAAAAACAGATATACATACTGCTTTAACATCAATAACATCATTTATCTACACAAAACACGACCATGATCACGTATCAAAATTACAGTGTGTCACTCTATACATCAAAAACGTTGCACTTTATAAAATAACATATTGCACTTTATACATCAAAACATTGCACTTTATAAAACGTTGCACTTTAACACGTTATCATATTGCACAATAAGAATCGAAATCGGTCGAACTCAACAATTTTCAACCTAAAATTACATAAAAATACTATATAAAAAATAATGACATATTAAATATAATCTTGATATAAATTAAAAGATTATTCCGATTTAATGTTGG